TGTACCGACTGTCGGAAGTTTGGTAATAGACTATTTGTGTGTAGAACTGATACAGAGTTATGTGGTAAATGTGGAGTTCTGTGTGTGATCTGTGCAATGGCAAACATGCACAGCATGGGAGGCTATTTGTCCATAGAGAGTGAGGGAGCCAGTTTTCTTCGGAACAAACTAGACTCTGACAAAATGAGTGGAAAATAGTTGTAGTTTTGTCTCCCCCTCTCCCCCGCGCCCGGCTGGGCAGCGAACCGCAACGCTTCCCCTCGGCAAAACACCAACGTATGCCTCCAGGCATGGAAAATTCTTGGTTTGCCTAAAGTATATAGGCACCGGAGAGCTTTCTACCCGCGATTATGTCTGTGATAAACTGCTATTTGACTCGTGTTGGATAAACACGTCTGATGTCTATTCATTCATAGCATTACCAAACAAACGCGAATTCGAGCTCATCTTCCTTCAAGAGGCTCATATGAGACGTTTCCTGGATGTTCACTCTACTAAACAAGGTGAGCCATAGTGGCGAGAATGGATTGTTGAGTCAGCCATCCAGCTCGATATCGTCAATCTTTCAAGATTCAAGACCTTTATTTGTCCCCGAGGGGCAATTGATTCTGCCGCAGTAGCAATAAAAACAACAGCAACAAACAACAGTGACAACAACAAGGTTGATACACACAAGGCAACAGTCACATAAAATCAGTCGTAACTAAATAAATAAAAACGCATACTTGAATAAAATATGAACTAATGATGATGCTACCTGTACTGTGCAGAGTTAAGCAGTGAGATGGCAGAGGGTATGAAGGAGAATTTGTATCTGTTAGTTTTGGCTAATGGTTGTCTGAGACGGGAACCGGGGGCAGGAACTTAAATTCTGGACTGGAAGGGTGCCAGATAACGATGTTGAACTTTACCTATCACGTTTCTGTGACATCCTCCAAGTGAACAAACCACTAGATAAACACGCCATCTGGTATGGAGTGAGAAAATATAAAGTCAAATTGCACAAAGACACTGGTGGCCAAGTTAAACAGATTCCTAACTGCATCTCCATGGGCCCTTACAATGGGTGGATTATATACCCGGGGCAGACCGCCTGTTGCTTCATATGTGGTCCCCCTGACCATCAAGTAAAACAGACGGAAAAGTGTTGGAAATGTGGCGGCCTCGGCCACAAAGCTACAACCTGCAACTCGGAGGTTGTGCAATTTGTGTGGTCAAAATGGCCACATCTTCTTCAAGTGCCCACACTCATACGCCAACCAGGCCAGAGCCCACCATCAGCCTGGCTCCAGTGATCAGCTGCAGTCTGGCTCCACTAACCAACAGCAGCGTGGCTCCACTGCCCAGCAGCCTGGCTCCAGCTCCACGAACCAACAGCAGCGTGGCTCCTCGGCCCAGCAGCAGCCCGGCTCCATTTCCCAGCAGCAGCCTGGCCCTGCCCAGCTACAACGTGGCTCCGGAGATCAGCAGCAGCCTGAGCCCGGCGACCAGCAGCTGAGACAGACCGGCCCGAGTGACCAGCAGCATCAGCAGCAGCCCCTAAACCTACCTCCAGCTAAGCGTCAGCAGCAGAGAAAGCAGCTTAGCCCTGGTGGACATCCCTTGGCTGAACAACAGCACAGACGGCAGCAGATCCTGGTCCCCGAGCCCGCGAACCATCGGCAACATCGCAGCCTGCAACCTGCACAGTAGCAGAAGCCCCATGCCAAGCCTGAGGTCCAGCTGAGACCCCACAGCCAGCCTCCAGCACGGGAGCAGCAGCAGCAGCGGCGCGGCTCTACAGTAATCCTGGAGGCCAGCTGCAGCAGGCTTTTACCCAACCTGCCCAGCATCAACAACCCAGACCAAAGCTTGTTAATCAGCAGCAACAGTCGGCTCCTCAGTCAGCCGCCACTCTGCCCGATCATCTAAGAGTAAACGACATGACAATAAACCCACACCATAAATATAACATCCAATGTGCGCCCTTAGCGTTGCTACATTAAATATCTGTGGGATTAAATCTGTTGTTTCCAGACAGCTAAAAATTGATTACCTGTTAAAAACAAATTTCGATATCATATGCACTCAAGAAATGAGAATAACCTCTGATGATGAAGATAAGAATGTGTCTGATTTATGGTCAAAGGGTACAAGTGTAATTTCGATAGGTGAAAGCAGCGCCGACGGGGTCGGGATTTTTTTAAAGTTACAATGTGTAATTTACGTGGTTGTTTATTAGCAAATATCAACTATTGCTTTCATAAATATATATTTACTAAAGTGTAACGCAATTCACATACAAATGGAAGCTTTCTCATAGGCTTAGAATGATTTCTCTATATATACACAGGCAGGGCGTGCTATGCTGGAGGCTGCCCTCTTGCGTCGCCATATTTGAATACAGTGGCCAAAAGGGATATACACGCTTCGCCTTTCGCGTTTACCTAGAACTTGCTGTCACTGGAGACGGTTAAGGTGAAGATCAATCCGGGGCGCTTCTGCATGAACCTGCTTTGTACTTTTAGGATTCTGTCGCACTTTAAATGGAGGAACACACATATGTTTTGCCCCGTAAGAGGGAAACCACGCCACCAAATAAAAGAAAAAGATCAGATAAGCGAGGACAGGACAAAACGTGAGTGAATTTCGGCGTTGCTTATTCCAGGTGGAAAGAACTCCTGAAGGAGAACGATTTCACAAGGGATGCGGAGGTTGCCTGCTTTGTGCTAGACAGGTAATTCAATCTGATATTTTAAAATCATTTTGGCTTCAGGTTTGCAACTACTTTTCCCTCTCGTTTAAGTTCGAGTGATGGCTACGTTTACGTGCTAACGTTATCCTAGCCTTGGCTAATGTTACTCCAGAGCTACAGCTAAATGGTTAGCCTAGCCTACAGCCTAATCTGTTGATTCCTCTCGCGCTGCTGCGAAGGCGTCCACCCTCTCCTCCTCCTCTTCCCTCTGGGTAGCTGAGACACATCTCTTCGCCTGGCCGTTCCTGCACCGCCTCTAACGTTACCCCCTCGCCCCCTTCCTGTCCCTGGTCTTCCTCCTCTCCCTCTCCCTCTTCCTCATCTCCCTGTGTCCTGTGGAAGAACACTCTGGAAACGCATATATTATAATCGTACCAACCTATATTTGCCGCGCTGTGCCATGACTATCACATAAAACGTGTTATTTTAGCATTACTGTGCTAATGTTTGCTCGTGTTACCAAAACAATTAGAAATACAGGAATACAGGATTACTCAATTACACAGTAAAAGTACTTCATACTAGTTTATACAAGTAGTCTAGGAAGTACTTAGTTCAGCGGTATATGAATCATGGACTACTTATGGAAAATAAGTTTTTTATTCCACATCAAAGTTGGGTGAAATATCCTTAATCTTGTCCTCTGTAATGGATCTTGACACATGATTACTCGAAAAGTACACAGTAAAAGTACTTCATATTATTCATGCAAGTAGTCTAGGAAGTACTAAGTTCAGTAGTGTATGAATCTTGGACTACTTATGGAAAATAAGTTTTTTATTCCACGTCAAACTTGGCGAAATATCCTTAGGATTCTGACACAGGATTACTCAAAAAGTACACAGTAAAAGTACTTCATACTAGTTATACAAGTAGTCTAGGAAGTACTTAGTTCAGCGGTATATGAATCATGGACTACTTATGTAAAATAAGTTTTTTATTCCACATCAAAGTTGGGGGAAATATCCTTAATCTTGTGATCTTGTCAGGATTCTAACACAGGATTACTCAAAAAGTACACAGTAAAAGTACTTCATACTAGTTATACAAGTAGTCTAGGGAGTACTAAGTTCAGTAGTGTATGAATCTTGGACTACTTATGGAAAATAAGTTTTTTATTCAACATCAGATTTGGGGGAAATATCCTTAATCTTGTGATCTGGTCAGGATTTTGACACAGGATTACTGGAAAAGTACACAGTAAAAGTACTTCATATTATGCAAGCAAGTAGTCTAAGAAGTGTTAAGTTCAGCAGTATATGAATCATAGACTATTTATGGAAAATAAGTTTTTTATTCCACATCAAAGTTGGGTGAAATATCCTTAATCTTGCGATCTGTTAAGGATTTTGACAAAGGATTACTCAACTACAGTAAAAGTACTTCATATTATGCATGCACGTAGTTTAGGAAGTACTAAGTTCAGCGGTATATGAATCTTGGACTACTTATGGAAAATAAGGCTTTTATTCCACATCAAAGTTGGGTGAAATATCCTTAATCTTATCCTCTGTTAAGGATTTTGACAAAGGATTACTCGAAAACACAGTAAAAATACTTCATATTATGCATGCACATAGTCTACGAAGTACTTAGTTCAGCGGTATATGAATCTTGGACTACTTATGGAAAATAAGTTTTTTATTCCACATCAAAGTTGGGTGAAATATCCTTGATCTTATCCTCTGTTAAGGATTTTGACACAGGATTACTCGAAAACACAGTAAAAATACTTCATATTATGTATGCACATAGTCTAGGAAGTACTTAGTTCAGCGGTTCACTTTATTTTTAGATATACACTATATTGTATTGTGATGTATGTTGATTTGTACCTGTGAATCTCTTCAATAAAAAAAAGCAAGAGCCAAAATGAAGAAAAGAAATAGCGTGAGGAAGTAGGTAAGACAAGATATGTAAGACAGCAAAGTAAGGAGGACAAGTCAGCCAGGAAGCATAAGGAATATTGCTCGTGTGAGGACCAGATTAAGTTTTTGGCCTTTGTGACAATGGTTTTTAATTGTACCACTGGAACTCAAAGAAAAACTGAGGAAATAGAGATAATCATAGATACAGTAAGGAGATTTCTGGATGTTGTTGGTGTTTCTGGAGGTGTACAACAGCTTTTGAGAGAAGCTTTTAGTCTCTTTCAAACAACCAGGAAATAAGACATTAAAACAAAACGATGACGCTACGCACTCCGGTACACTAGGTGGCAGCATGCACCTTTCTTGCTAGTTTCTTAGCCTATCCGCCATCACACGAAGAAGAGGAAGCTGAGAGGATAGTACTTCCAGCGTAGTGTGTGTGAAATTCAATACAACGGTCAGGGTTGTTAACAAACTAACAATGTTTTCAGTGAATATCCTGCGGAGATTACGACCCTGTGTACTTTCTCAGTCCTACTGTAACATTGCGGCCGCGCGACAGTTTTACGTGTCCTGCGTCAAAGGAGTGAGTGGGAACCAGCACCATGCTGTCAGAAGGTCGTTCCTCAACCTGAGCTACAAGGTAACGTTACTGAACTCCAAGCCGACTTTTTGTTTTCTAGAGAGATACATAGCGTAGTCAGCAAGCTAATACTTAGTGGACATGTTTATGTGACTAATGCAAACAAAACTAGAGACTAGCTCAGTTTGCATTAGCAGCTAAGATCACTGTGTACTCAGCCTAAATGACTGTCTACCATCTGTGCTGAAAATGACTGCATTGTTTTGGCAGCAGTAGTTACATACATTACCAACTTAAAATCACAATAAAGGACATTATGTTAATGTATTATTTCAGGAAATGATAGAGAGACTTGTTCAGATGCAATTTATGGAACATCCTGTTGTAATTCAAAAACATTACTAAAGGCAAGACAAAACGTTTTTTTAAGGATCTGATTTTCTGTGTTTTCTATTCTTTTTGTTGGAACTGTTGCATCAGTAGAGTTACACACTCTCTCTCTCTCTCTCTCTCTTTCTCTCTCTCTCTCTCTCACACACACACACACACACACCAGCCAGTTTATTAGGTACACCTTGATAGTGCTGGGTTGCACCGTTTTGCCCTCAGAACTCCATGGCATAGATTCAACAAGGTGCTGGAAACATTCATCAGAGATTTTGGTCCATATTGACATGATGGCATCACACAGTTGCTGCAGATTTGTCAGCTGCACATCCATGATGAGAATCTCCCATTACACCACGTCCCAAAAGTGCTCTATTGGACTGAGATCTGGTGACTGTGGAGGCCATTGGAGTACGGTGAACTCATTGTCATGTTCAAGAAACCAGTTTGAGACGATTTGAGTTTTGTGACATGACGTGTTATCCTGCTGGATGTAGCCATCAGAAGATGGGTACACTGTGGTCATAAAGGGATGGACACAGCCAGCAACAACACTCAGGTAGGCTGTGGTGTTTAAACTATGCTCAGCTGGTACTAAGGGGCCCAAAGTGTGCCAAAAAAAAATATCCCTCACCTTTACAGCACCACCAGCAGCCTGAACCGGCAAGATGGATCCATGCTTTCATGTTATTTACTAAGGATAGACCGATACATCGGCCGGCTGATATATCGGGCCGATATTTGAGTTTTTTACTTGCATCGGCCGATATGCGCGTGGGTTCGCAGATTTATTTTTCCCTGGCGCTTTTTTTCATTTGAAAGTATGTGGTTAAGTTGAACAAAGCTGTTGAATCCTACTGTGTGCAGTAGTTGTTGTTTTATTTATGCTTCAGTTTAAATATTTGTTTATTTTATAAAGACATTACTGGAAGATTTAAGAGCACTGAACTCTTTTTTTTGAATGTATAATAATAATAATAATAATAATAATAATAATAATAATAATAATATTCTACCTGTTCTACCTCAACTTTCCATCTTGTTTTAGTATTTTTTACTGTTCAATAAATGTTTCTTATTTTAAACTTGAGACCTGTAATATTTGTTATCATTGTGTCATTTTTTTGATGTAAATTGAGGGAGCAAAAGCAGTTTCGGCCCCAAATATCGGCTCAAGAAAATCGTCCATAAACAGTCCGTAATCGGTCATCGGCTAAGGGTGATGGAAAAAAATCGGTATTGGCATCGGCCCTAAAAAATCCATATCGGTCTATCCCTATTATTTACGCCAAATTCTGACCCTGCTATCTGAATGTCGCAGCAGAAACCAAGACTCCTCAGACCAGGCAATGATTTTTGAATCTTCTATTGTCCAATTTTGGTGAGCCTATGAATTGTAGCCTCAGGTTTGACATGTTGTTGGTTCAGAGATGGTGTTCTGCATACCTTGGTTGTAACGAGTAGTTATTTGACTTACTGTTGCCTTTCTATCATCTTGAACCAGTCTGGTCATTCTCCTCTGACCTCTGGCAACAACATTTTGAAAATCCCAGTAGATCAGCCACATTGAAAGTCACCTAAATCACCTTTCTCTCCCATTCTGATGCTCGGGTTGAACTTCACCAGGTTATCTTGACCGTGTCTCCATGCCTAAATGCACTGAGTTGCTGCCACATGATTGGCTGGCTATTTGCATTAACAAGCAGTTTAACAGGTGTACCCAATAAAGTGGCTGGTGAGTGTGTATATATATATATATACACACACACACACACACACACACATATATATATATATGTATGTATATATATATTTACACACACAAAACCTTTACAGAAATGTGCCTTTTTCTGTCTAAGTGTCCTGCATCTGTGACCAGATAGAAATAAACTGACATGTGTTAAGGACTTATTCAGGGTTTTTATTCTAACACAGTAACTAAACCCTTACAAAAGCCAGTTTTATTGTTTAATTTTCTTTTGTTTTTTTGAATAGGTGCAGTCCCACTGTCTGTCCACCCGCTGTCTCTCCACAGTGACCCACTCTGAGGATGGGAACCTCATTTACACTGGTAGCCTGGGCATGGCTGTCCGAGGTAAGTCACTTTCACCTTGTTATATCTGAAAGTATGTCTTTCCTCTTCTTTATCTGATACAAGTTTTAATTAAGTTAGAATTCAGTAGTCAGAGGATGGCTGTGATTGTTATTCTTTCCACTATAGTGCCAGGTCTGCAGTATATGAAAGGTATAATGTGTGAAAGCCCCAAACATTAACTGTTGCTTGTCTTTTTGTCTGTCTTGAGAACATAGTGCCCTTTTACTAATGTTGTACTTTTTTAATGTGGATAAGTTTCCTGGTCTTCTGGATCAACTTTATTTTTATGTCTTTATAAAAACAAATAACCATAAATGGGTCACAGTCCGGTCCCACACTCAGCTCCTAACAACAGTTACATCATCAGTCTCATGTTTTACTCTTTAGAGTCACATTTAATGACTGTGGAAATTGGATGTATTTGCATCACAGATGATGAACAAAGAGTGCATCCTGATCATAGGTCAGTTGTAAAATCACCACAGATGCACCATGGAGCATCTCTCCTGTCGCTGACAGCGCTGTCAGTCAAACAGTCAATCACACTAGATGCCAGTAGTGAAAGGATCAGCGTCTGGTTCTAAAGTAATTTAGCTAGTATCATTCAGCATCATAGAGTGAACAGAAACGAGTCACACTGCTCTTCCTAAAACAAAGTAGGGCTGTAGGAAGCCAAAGAAAATCCTGGTGAATTGAAGTTCTATCTACTCTTCAACCAATCAATTGGTTGATGAGGAAAAAAAAATTTTTAATTGTTTTAATTCTTTGCGATGGGAGCTGAGCATTTATTCTGTGCTGATCACTGCACATTTGGCTGTTTTTCTCTGCTTGAGAGTTGAAAAATGTTTAACTTTGTGTAAAATTCTGCACTTGTGACTGTGACTTTTTACCCAGCCATCCAGTCACAGTGGAGAAGGGGTGGGGCAAAGACCAACTGTCACATCTTACGTGTACAGGCATTCATCAACAACAACAGCAAGCAACAGCAGTAGAGGAGAAATTAATACTGCTGACCACACAGAGTGGAGGGTATGTTCTCTCCTCCTGTTAGAGCTCTGATCAGGCCCAACAAAATCAGGCCCAACACTACATGAACCCACACAGTGTCAGTCCAAGCCTGACCTGAGCCTGGTCCACTACAGCAGTTTTGGGTCCGAACCCAATTAAAAACCAGAATTTCTACTGTAAAAAAAAGAAGTTATATCTTATCTATTATAATATATTTTTTTTAGTATTAAAACATTCATTACAAGCTAAGGGCTGATGTGTTCCCTTGCACCATTTCTCCTTTTTCAGTAGTCTGTTGTCTTGTGCACTACGTATTGGCAGAGCCCTCGGTGTGTGTGGTGTGCATGATGATCCATGGTGATGCGGCACACTGATGAGGATCACCGCTCTTCACTGCATGTTACACACATTCCCACTGTTGGGGAGGCAGAAGCAGACACTGCCAACCAAGTTGCCTTGTAGCCCTTCTCTCTCTCTCTCTCTGTCTCTTGTTTTCGTCCCCCTCTCGTGCACGCTCTGTCTCTCTTCCCCGTTTCTTCACTATTGCTCCATTGTTCACCCAGCTAAACTACTGTGTCCAGGAAACTTGAAATGCTTGCTTCAGCTCATTGACTTTGTCTTTACCCGCCGCAATTGCAACTCTCAACAGAAATGAGAAAGAAACAAGATGGCTCACTCCATGGCTATTTCCATCATCAGCTCCAGAAAAAACAATGTGTTTAATTTTTTTTTTTTTTTTTGCTAGATTTACAAGCCCAAAGTGGCATTAAACTTGCCCCTGACAATCGGATATTCATATTCATATATTATTTTTGAGCCCTGCAATGAGAATTTGGTCAGACAAGAGTATATATTAAAGGTAGGGTCTGGAGGATTTTCCAGTTGCTGTTTGTAAACACACATTCAGATTTGGCCCCTCCTATCAGGCTCAACTCTCCCGGGTGTACGGAGTCCAGAGGTAGGGAGGAGGCTTCACAGAAGAGGTTCAGGCAAGGCTCGCGCTGGTGCACACTCGGACACGCTCGGGCACAGCACCTGCGCTCTCTCATTGGCTGGGGAAATCTCCGCCCAGAAGCGGTCCGAGCTCACAAAAACATCGAAATACAGTTAAAGGGCAGGAGCTCTGCAAACAGAATCACCATCACACATGAGTAGAAACCCATAGGTGATGATTAAGCAGGATTTCATTTGTATCCGTCTATATTTTGTTTTGTTTGAAAATCCTCCAGATCCTACCTTTAACAAACCAACCAGAAGGTGTCAGTGCTTAAAAAACAAAAAATAAAACAAGAATTAGGAGCCTTTTCTGTGATGTCAGTGTTCCATTAATTTAATGCATCCAGTACTGGACAAAATGCCTTGATGATAGCAGTGTATCTATAACCTGTGTTCTCTGAATCTTCTCTTTTGTCAGGAGTGAAGATGTTTTCTTACAGCACCAGTGCGGCCAGCCTCTTTCTCATGCCGCAAATCCTCCTGAAGACCGGATTAGGAGTCCAGAGCTTGGCTGTGCAGGCTGCTTTCTGTGGAATCATTGGATTCTTCACCTTCCTGACCCCTGTCCTCTTCCACCTCATCAGTAAGGGCTACGTATTCCGCCTGTACCACAACCCAGACAGAGATACCTATACTGCCATCACCTGTAGCGTCCTTCTCACTGAAAAAAAGACTGTGTTCCACCAGAGGCAGGTCAGGATCCCAGCCGTCAGCAAGATGTTCACCACCTTCTATGCTGATAAAGCGGGGCTGCTGGTAAACCCAGACCTGTTCCTCACTCCACATGACTACAACCACCTGATGGGCTACGATAAGCCCTTCAGCTTCGACACAGAGGACATGGACAGACCAGAGAAGAGCTGAACTGCAAACAAGTTAAATGTGATGTTAGTATATGAATTATGTCTACAACTTCAAACTGCACAGTTTGTAACACTCACATTTCTACCAGGGTGAAACATCCACCAAGGACTTAGCAACCAACATAATTTCCCAATCAAATTTTCGTTGGGTTTTTTTTCAGTATTTTAATGGCTGTTTCATGTTAATAAATTAAAACATCATCACCACGACCCATTGTCTGAAACAGTTTCCTTTTGTTGGTCTCTGCCACTGTGTAATGACAGTACACATTCACTTTTAGGGCCCTATCTTACGTCCAACGCACAGTGGTGTGCGGAACGGTGCACAGTGCAGCGCAGCTTTCATTGCTAGTTTCAGACCAATGTAGTTCCGTATCCAGCACCCATGTTGTTTAATTAGCAAATGTATTTACACCAATGGGTGTATAGGTTTTAAAATGAGGTGTGGTCAGGTGCATTGACTAAATGCTGCAATTCTGAGGCGGCGGACTGACTGCACCATTGACCCTACAAAATATGCTCAGAAATCAGAATGTCCCAGAGTTTTCCTGTTATTTAAAGGGCGCATCATTATTATTATTCAGATACTGAGATGTGCCTACAAAGATGGCTTTAAAATGCTTGTACAGTCTGCTTATTAGGCACACAGGAACATGTGGATGGGTTCCCGGTGGGTGAAATAATACATCATAAAGACAAATAATGACTTTATGTAAAAGGGTTAACATAGTAGAGATCGGAGCAAAGCTGCATAGCTGCTGTCTGACTCCACATTGAGAGAGGCTGTGTGCATTTACGCAGGAGGAGCAGCGTAACTTTATTGATTGTTTAAAAAGCTAAAAGTTAAGTTCTGTTTCCTCTGGCGAGTTTCTAAATGTCCCACGGTATTAGCTGCATTAACAATACTGCTCTCACTCAGCAGAAGACCACTCACTGCTCCAGTTTGCCAAATCTACCATGTAAATAGCATTTGTACCTTGCTTGTAAAGGATATAGGAGATTACTCTGTGACTGGTTGAATATGTTACCCCAAAACCCACCTGTGATTAATTAAGGAACTAAATACAACCCCTTTGCCCCTTGCACCTTACTTTGCGCCCAGACTATGTGCATTTGAACTAGCAGAAGTAAGACACGCCTTAATGCACTTGCACCATTCAATTTAGAACATGCACTATAGATCATTTAAATAGGGTCCTTTGAATTTCTGGACGTAATCCAAATTTCATTCAGAGGCAGTCATTTTTCTTATCACTTTTCAAACATTCGATTGCATACTGCTTTCTCAGTAAGACTGGATATCAAGTGTTTTAGTACGAGTGTTGTTAATGATGGAACTGATTGCAGAAAATGTTTTACGATGTCATACTTTGAGGAACACTGAAAAAAAATCTTCCTCTTTTGTCATTTAGCAAAGCAGACAAATTTCACAAAGGAGCTCTTTTTTGTAAACTTTTTTTCCACAATATCTCAACATCTTGTGAGGTAAAGACTGTTTTGTGTGAGTGTTTACAATAGACAACCAGAAGACAGCTAAAGAGTTGTGCTCATTGTTTGGACACAGTGTGTGTGACAGTTCTCCTTACAATAGCTCTCTCAGCAGCTGATTGTTACCTGTGACTGGCACTACAGCACCAGCTTTGTGTACTTAAACAAGAGATTAAATAATGATGTCATTGGATTTAACTGACACAACATTATCAACCAGAGGGATCTTGGAGTTAATATTCACAATAATTGTTTTCATCAGTGCTTAATAACTGAATAAAGAAAACCTGCCAGAATTAATCAGAAATTGAAGAACAGATGTTTAATGTATGTGCTTCCAAATAAAAGTTCACTGGTATTTTATTGTAGAGGGTGGACTTTACTCACTGACCCAAATTTTCAAATAGTTTTAAGTTGTGTGTGAGATCTTGAGTTAATCACTACACTGCATTATAATCAACTCTTTGATAAATAATTCCAGCATTACAAAATATCAATATCTCTACTTCTATGATGATTACACACATGCATAATCAAAGGAAATATGAATCATTTTCTCAGCATCAGCAAACTTTATTCTTCATTTTAAAAATAACAATCTCTGCAGCAACGCTAAACACACCTATATTATTCAGTTGTATATCTCAAATTACTATTTTTCTTTCTTTTGAAACAACCAGTGATTTGAGAATACATTCCTAAAATAACACCGGCAATGACAGTCACACATAATCGTAGCTGCACACTTTCAAAACCAAACAGCATTTCAGCATGTTGCAACAAGCAAACACAAAAATTCTCAATACATACATTTTCTCTGAAGAAAGAAAAATGTTTTAACACAGCTTGACAGACAAACAGAACAATTTCCCTTTATTATGAATGGCTTGCATGAATGATCTGCTGCCAAAATTATTCTTCGCAACTAAAAATACTTTCCAAATATTTTATAATAGTTTTTGTGATTTGAACCCCTGTGATCCTTTTCTGTGCCTTATTGTGCTTGATAAATTTGACCTATATGTAACTGTAACTGTTGATACTCAGTGTTTCTTGCTCGATATAAAACAAACCCTTACTAATAATGATGTCAAAGCATTTAGTTTAATATGGTTCTAATAATAAAGTGCAGTTGCAGTTAAGAGTCATATGGCGTTGTTTCCACTCCTCCACTGGCACAACTTCTACATTGTTTGAACAGTGATACATTAAAGGGATAGTGCACCCAAAAATGAAAATTCAGCCATTATCTACTCACCCATATGCCGAGGGAGGCTCAAGTGAAGTTTTAGAGTCCTCACATCACTTGCGGAGATCTGAGGGGAGAGGGGGTAGCAACACAACTCCACCTAATGGAGGCTGATGGCACCCCAGATTAAAACGTCCAACAACACATAATTGAAACCACAAAGTATCTCCATACTGCTCGACCGTAGCGATCCAAACGTCACTTGAACTCTGTTTTTAGCCTCATTGCAGCCTGCAGCTCTAACTGCCTCTCTGTGCACCGCACTCATGTGTGCGCGCTTGCGCGAAACATTGGCACAGCGTTCATGTGTGTTCACATTCTTTTGCTGGTCTCATGCGCAAGCGAGCACACGTGAGCACGGTGCACAGAGAGGCAGAGGCAGAGCTACAGGCTACAATGAGGCTAAAAACAGAGATCAAATGATGTTTTTCCAAACAACTTTTTATGTCAGGGCTTCAGGACACTTGGATCACTATGGACGAGCAGAATGGAGATATTTTGTGGTTTCAATTATGTGTTGTTGGACGTTTTAATCTGGGGCACCATAAGCCTCCATTAGGTGGAGTTGTGTTGCTACCCCTTCTCCCCTCGGATCTCCGCAAGTGATGTGAGGACTCTAAAACTTCACCTGAGACTTGACACCAAAATCGTCTCTCTGTCACATGCTAAAACTCAGTTGTAAAGTATGTTAATTATTGAGAGGTGCTTACAGCAGCATTGTTCTCAGTATGGTGATGGTACCATCCAAAGTTGGTATTTCTTTTTATTCAACAGCCTGTAAATGAATATCCTCTGGAGGAAAACAACATTATATTTATAGTCTATTTTATGTCTTTATAACTCTTTGCAAGTACTTTTACAAGTATTTTTGCACCCATACCAATTATCACTGCCAGAAAAAGTCTTCACAATGTTGAGGTTTTTGCAGATTAAACAGTCCACCTCTTTATAAAGTTGCTGAAATCAGCTCCGCTTCAACCAACTGCAAGAGTAAAATACTGTTAAGCAGTCAAAACATGAGGGATAATGATACTATAAAATATATAAAACTCTGATTGGGGCCATTCACCATAATGAGCAGTTTGTTACTTAAAGTACACTTTGCTAATGATACATCTGTACTAATACTTCGTAGGCTTTTGAAAGCAGGACTTTTACTTGAAATGGTACATGTACATTGTTTTGTTACTACTTGTACTTGAGTACTTGCAGATGTTTTCAGCCTACTAGTACTGTACGTAGATTTGTCAATAATAAACCTGTTTACTAATTAAAGTTTGTTCATCATTATTTAATACATGTATGTGAAATTACATTATTTTTCCGCAATTTTGTGTGTTTTATCTTCCAACATACCATTTGCTTTTATCTACTGGAGATTGGAGATGTGTTTTGGGTGCCAGTGTTAAAGAAATATGTGTTTCCCTACTTTGAGTTGACTCTACAGACCTCTGTATTCTGTGAGTCCGTGCAGGTACTTTATAAGACAAATAATTAAAACATTTGTCAAAGGTGAAAAAATGTTTAAGGCCTAGACAACAGCAGCATGTTGGTAGTCCAGTTTTGATGTCCTCCTCAGTCAACTGTGAGCAGAATGGAAAGGTCCAAACTGTGAAGTCAGTGAATGACAGAAGGCCTGGTGCTGAACAGACTGAGGCTGAATGGACTGGGGAGACAGTAGAAGAGAGAGAGGAGTTTGCTTTATAATTCTTTCCTTTGATTGATTCATGCCACTGAGGCTCTCTCCTTAATGTTTGCACAATAGTGGTGTCACAGAGTCACATAGTTACCTGTGTCAGCTTATTAACCTGTTGGTGCCATTTAGTTTTGATCCACTGTATTCAAAAAGTGTATTTTAAACAGGACAAGAACATGAACACTCACCTTTTGATTTGCGTGGCGGAGGAGGACGAGCTTCTTAACAGCCTCTTAGAAGAGGAGGAAGAGGAGGAGAAGGAGAGGGGAACTTTCGGGGACTTAGGGGGTGGGAGAATGGAGCATTGAGAGGCCTTGGACAGGTTTAACCTACGAAACAAAAAGGACAATCAACTGATTATATGTTTCCAAACCATTAAATCGAATGTAACTAACAATTATATCAGCATAATACAAAGATTTGATGTGAAAATTTAACAAACAGGAACAGCATGTACAGCGAATGAGTGAAAAATGTCAAGAAATTCATGATGCGCAAAGAAACAACTCAGATCAATTGACTAATGGAAACACAATAAAAGTATAACTTTATGTTCCATTGATAGAAAACATGAATGAACTGTATATGTGTTGAAACAAAACATTTGAAAGGTTAAAGATCCTTGAAAGCTCTACACACCCGCAGTGGTTACAAGTATGTCACGTGACATATGTTGCCTGGGTGAAGGTCAGGGTGAAGATTGATTGATTGATTGATTGATTGATTAATAATTAGTACCTTATATCTTGTTGTTTAATCTGCACAAACAAACAAAATATAACACGTTTCGCTGTTTCCAGTCTTTGAGCTAAGCTAAGCTAACAATGTATCTCATTTAGTGTAATTAAATATACTAATTAGCATATTTAACTTACATCTGTCACAAGAAAGTGTGAAAGTGTATTTTCTGAGGTCTTGTTCAGACTGCCAGCCCAGATCTCATTTTGGCATATCCAGATTGTATCCAGATGATTTGAGAAAGTCCAGACAGCCGAAAACTACTTGTAATGAGATTTTTAACTGGATCCAGGCAACGTAGTCATATCTAGAGTATCAGCAGTGCTAAGCAGAATCCCTGCTCCCAGCGACTTGTGAGCTCAATTGTCAGAGTGCAAAGTCATGGACCCCCCATTTCTAATGCTTTCGTGTTGGAAAGCCATGTGGCCAGACGCCTACATTGTTATAATAAGAACCCATGCAAATAGGCTGGTGATGTGGACCCACAAATCCAAACTGATCACATGCATCTGTCATAAAGATCTGGTTTAAGAAACCAATCTGAACTGCCTGCAGTCTGAACGTGGCCTAAATGTCATAACAGGCATAAAAGGCATAACCCCAACCATAACCCTTACGTTAACTGAGCTCGAATCACGTTGTACCTTGAGGATGAGGAGGCTGATCTTGGTGGTCGTTTTCCCTTCAGTGCTCTGAGTTTGTCGGCCTGATTCATTCAGCCTACCTGACAGTTAATCTTGATACAGAGAGAGAGAGAGAGAGAGAGAGAGAGAGAGAGAGAGAGAGAGAGAGAGAGAGAGAGAGAGAGGAAAAGAAAAGAAAAGAAAAGATTTTTTGAAATTGAATTGTATGAAAATGTACATTCTCCATAGAGGTAACACTGGAAATAGTTTTAAATGATGTAATCCTCATTCTGCCCCTCACCTCATCCAAACTGTATGATTTGCAGAGGGTGGTCTTAATTGACAGGTCATCCATGCTTGAGAGTAGGTGGGACATGGCTTCCTGTTTCCCCCCCTCAGAGTCGGGGCTGTGAAGCTGCTGCTGTTGACGCTGTTGCTGTAGCTGCTGCCGTCGGCTCAGTCTCTGCTGAAGGATCTTCTGTTTGGAGCGATGGACGTCACCCTGGACCCATAAACTGTGCTGTTTCCTACACACACACACACACACACACAAGGAACAGACAACACTGTACAATGAGACGGTGAAATTCTTAAGTCATACGTACTGGTAGAAAGTCTTTTCTGGGCATAATAAGTGATGACAAAAATGAAATGCACAAGTGTCTCCTACTTCATTTTAGTAGTATTAAGCAAAGTAATCTCATTGAAGAAAATTCTTGAAAATAACACACTTAGCTCATTTGTTGTAAGCTAAACAAGATTTAACACTGATCAGAAGTAAGTCTACAGTCATGCTAGCAGCTCTTTGAGGATGTACTAAGGAACAGTGGAGCTGTGGGATAATGCTAATGAGGACTTTCTACTTAACTGGTTGTTTCACCTGGCCTTACTCTCTGTCCCTGTCTCCAGCCCCTGCTCACTTCCCTCAGGCCATGTCCTCTCCTCTCTCCCCAAATCTGCCATCCTCAAACCATCCACTAGATGGACTCAGACTTTCTTTCCATCACCTGATGTCCCCTTCCACTTACACAACTGTTCCCACTTCCCTCTTAAGTCACAACG